GGGAACGAGGGTGAGGAGGGAGGGGGTAGGGGTATCTATCTCACTCTTAACTAAATCAGCTCCTCAAGGCATTGTCTCCAGAAGCAGAAATAAAAGAGAAAAAAAAATCCAGGCACTAACACAGAGGGTCACAAAGGCTCCGGTGCACAGAGGAAACTACCCACACCCTTCTGCTTTAGTTATTTTTCAGTTCTCCCGCCTCTTTGACCTAGATTTTTTTGTTCTGTTTGTGTGTCTGAATGTGCATTTCGACTCCCAAATCCGGCTTCAGAAACTGCTATCATCATCCGACAGAAGTCACCCCACAGCCGGCGGGTGTACTCATTCCATTCCGCCCGAAGTCTCAGGGGCGGGCTTCAAAATAACACGGGGTGGGTCAGGAAGGCATTCTCCCCGCCTCCTGACCTGGATTACTGCCGCATCACAGGCTGCCAGTACTGGCAGCAAACACAATCCAACTGCAGGTTTAACTGTGGAGGCCGTGAACTGGACAAAAACACACACACACCCTGATGCATTTAAATCACGGGAGCCGAGGTGCAGACCTCTGCAACAGAACCAATATCCCTCTCTCCCATCAGCTTTTTAACGCAAGATCCCCCGGAGGTGCTTGTGACACAGTGGTAGTGTCTCTACCTCTCGGCCAGAAGGTCTGCATTCAACTTCCACCTGCCCCAGCCATGTGTGTCTGAACAGGCTGGCCAAAAACATACTTAACGAAACAATTTGCTGCTCTCATGATGAACAGAAAATATGTGTTCCTTTTTAAATTGCAAATTGCCATAAAAGTTTTGTTCACGCCTCCTCTGCCGCAACTGGAATTCTGCTTTGTAGTCCCAACTACAATTTGACAGTGCAGGTTTTCACAGTGATATCCAAAGCTGGATCTGTTCAGACTGACCCCTCACATTTGCACAGTGGCAGGTAGGGACGCCATCAAATCGATTGAATGGAGCTTTGCTCGACCTCAGAGTAAGGCAATATGACCAGCTCTAAATTGGACCCCGTTATTAAATACTAATTTCTTGACGACAAGCAAACTAACTGAAAATTCAATTTCCAATAATGTCCTGAACTAATTTACTTCAAGTCTCTGGCACGCTGTGGAGAAAATTACGTTAATTTCCTGTATTCGATAAGTTTAATAATGTTTACTTAATCAAATGCCACACTGTAATCCCAAATTGCAAATTAAATGTGCTTAGTAGTTTATTTGATCTTAATTTTGTGAAAGCAGTTTAGTAAAAATGCAACATTCAGGGCTCTTGTGGTGCAGTGGTAGTATCTCTGTCTCTGAGCCAGGAGACCTGGGTTCAAGTCCCACCTCTTCCAGAGATGTACCATGTCAGAGACGTATAATAACATCTCTAAGCAGATTGATTAGCAAATATCATGTGTTCATTACTTCTCGATTGCTGCACTATTGGGAGTGTTAGAAATGGATCTTCGACAAGAGTTAGGTAGAGAATCTGCGTCCCCTTGTCTATCGGTGGACATTACGTCAGCGACTAAACAGACTGGTGAGACCTATGTTATATAAATATAAAACAACTTGTCTCCATAGGCCCACCAGGCTGCTCTCACATTAGAGAACTAATGGTGTTTTAACCTGAGGGTCACCGCATCTCAGGCTAAGGGGAAGAGTTCCCTCACGGGAACCTCAAGCCAATGCGAGAAATTGAATCGTAGCTGGTGGGATCAGTCTGTGTTGTGGAACAGCCGTCCTGCCGACTGAGCTAATCGACCCCACCCCCCTTGTGGGAAGAGGAGGAGTAACAAACACAAGGTGCACATGGCTAGGAAGCAACATCCATGTGAGTATCTGCAAAATAACTTGCACCTCACTCAGACTGTGACCTACTTTATGAGCGTTGGAAAAATCAACACGGGTTGGGGTGGGGAGAGATGCAAGAGACAGGGCACAGTACAGTAAGATCCCAGTAACACTGGAATCGAGCTGTCACGTCCTAAAACACTGAACACTTCAACATAAGAACTTAAACAGAACTAATCGTGGAGGAAAGACTGACTGCACTAGAATAATATCTCAGTGACACCAACACAGAAACGTCAACAGCACATAATACTCTGTGGAATGAGAGGCATAAAAATTGAATCCCTATTAATAGCTGATTCTGCCAGCAAAACACAGCCTAGTTATCTCACAAACAGTAGAAGCAACTGTCTAACTAGTCACTGTAATGGGAAAACTGGACGAGATAATACTGATGTAGGCCAACACATCCCGTAAGGTTTGTGTAGATATCAAGGAATATTAACCATAGAGATCTGACTCTACATTGCAGCGAATTGAAAATACTAATAATCAACTAACACAACCGGCTTATCCTAGCGAGTTACACAGCGAACCCCAGTTTAACGGCGTGCTATCAAAATACCTTACAGTGCCTATGTCAAAATGGTGCTTTAAAACATGTTCACAGTAGGTATCCTCACTTACTTCAAGAACATAACAAGCAGGAGTTAAATGGCTCCGACACACTTCAAAAGTAATCTAATGTACCCTTTTCTTATTTTTTTAAAAAAATGGGTATTTTTCATACCTGTGTTGTTGGAATCCATAACTGTCTTCCTTCGGGATTTTTGATCCCTCTACTGTCAACAAACTATTTCCAAGCGGCGTGCAAACTGCTGGACAATTTGCCTGCAGCGTTCTGGTTTGTGTATTTGGCTGCTCGATCTTGCGTGTTGGGCAGGAGTTGTTGAGTTGCTGTTTTGAGCCAGGAGTTTCTGCTTGTCAGTGCAGTTTTTGTTGCTGTTACAGTTCCTGACGAAGGTGCTAAAATCCTGCAGTAGGGGACGAAATCCCGCAGCCCAGTAGCAGTAAAGACCACCTTCACTACGGTTGGCCGGCCCTGTCAAATCTTCCTCTGGTTGGGGTCGGGGGGTGGGGGTGGGGGTAGAGAGGCGGGGGAGGTTGGCTGGGAGGCAGGATAAGATTTAGGCAACCTCTCCCAGGTTCGGTACTCTGCAGGAATGCAATATATCTAAGAAGAAAGAAGCTTGCCTTTCAGCACGGCAAGAGGGTGTCCTCTGCAAATCCCCTTCAACAAGGCAGCCAAGTGCCGGCTGCTGACTGCAAGAAATGTACACTGACACAACAGGAAGAGTTACTTACAGCAAGAGCTACACTGCGGTGAAACAGGCCGAGCAGCAGATGAAACAAGCTCTCTGATTGGAGGCAGTTATTGTTTCCAATATTTTGATTGAGACCCTGAGATCAGGCAAAGTACAGAGTGCTATGATTGGCTGTTCGTCGAATACTGGCATTTGGTGCCGCTGGAGTAAAGGTAAATAAGGCTCAGCTAAATGCCCAACCTGTGTAGTGGAACTGTTTTTGGATATGTTTTAGCGTTAATGTTTATGAATCCACACTTAACATTTCTACAAATCCGTGGTCAGAACTGCATATGTACTATGGAAAAAGAAAACTTCAGCCGCTCGTAGATATTGCAAAAAAAATAGTACAAATCAGAAAGATTACATGTAACATATTTTGACCAGAGTCCTACAGCTATGATTTAAACTCGGAGGGAAAATATCTCACTATTTTTGGTCGGCTCTTCCATCTTTATAAAAATAAATGTTACTCATTCGTGTACCTCAGGGCACCACAGCTGCCGCGCTGATGCAAAATCGTTGCTGTTGAGAAATGGTCCTGTAAAGCTGAAGTAAGAGCTTACTCTAACTCTGAGGAAAGGAAGTTGATACTTATATATTAGGAGGAATTCCTTGCTTCAGTTTTAAATTGGCGTTACAAACTAGATGATGTGATGTGTATATTCAAGAAATGCCATTCCCTGTGAAATTATCTTGGCTGAAGTGGGATTCTTCCTGCCGTGTTATACTGCAACAATAGGAATAATCTAAATTATACTCAGAGAGGAGATCCTCATACTGTCTTAATAAGAACTCCCTACCTCATAGTACTGTGGGTGTACCTACAACCCAAGGACTGCATTGGTTCAAGAAAACAACTCAGTACCACCATCTCAAGGGAAATTTGGGTTGGGCAATAAATGCCAGTCAAGCCAGCAACACTCACGTTGCTTTGCAGCCATTGAAGTAATTTTGAAGTGCAGTGACAGATGCAAAGCAGACAACTTAGAGTTTACACATGGGTTTCCGTCGGGTGCTCCAGTTTCCTCCCACAGTCCAAAGATGTGCAGCTTTTGTGGATTGGCCATGCTAAATTGTCCATAATGTCCAGGGATGCGTTGGCTAGGAGGATTAGCCATGGGAAATGTGAGGTTACGTGCATAGGGTAGGGGTCTGGGTGGGCTACTCTTTGGAGGATTGGTGCAGATCCAATGGGCCGAATGGCTTCCTTCTGCACCATTGGGATTCTATGATACTATGAATTTGGACAGTTGATTTTCACCTAGCAAGCACCCACAACAGCAATGTGATAATGGCTAAATAATTGTTTTTGTGTTGTTACTTAAGAAATAACTATTAACCAGGAGATCAGGAACAAGTGTCCTGCTTTTCAAAATAGTGCCATGGGTTCTCTTCTACTTGCACAGGAGAGCAGATGAGGCCTCAGTATCGTGTCTCAGCTAAAAGACAGCACTGTCAACCACACAAGATTCGCCTAGCACTTCACTGGATTGTCAGCCTAGATGATTATGTCCAAATGGACTTGGGGAATGGGTCTGACTAGATTATTCTACAGAGAGCTGGCACGGGCCTGATGGGCTGAATGGCCTTCTTCCTTCCCATAATGATTCTTATGACGACAATGTATGACCAACTCTCGAAATTGCATTTTAAACCCACACTCTGAGGCTGAAGGGTGACCTTATTGAGGTTTATAAAATCATGGGGGGTATGGATAGGGTATATAGACAAGGTCTTTTCCCCAGGGTGGGGGAGTCCAAAACCCAAGGGCATAGGTTTAAGCTGAGAGGGGAAAATTCAAAAGGGACTTAAGAGGCAATTTTTTCACACAGAGGGTGGTGCTTGTGTGGAATGAGCTGCCAGAAGAAGTGGTGGAGGGCTGATACAATTACAACATTTAAAAGGCACCTGGATGGGTATATAAATAGGAAGGGTTTAGTGGGATATGGGCCAAATGTTGTAAAATGGGACGAGACCTGTTTAGGATATCTGGTCAGCACGGATGAGTTGGACCGAAGGGTCTGTTTCTGTGCTATACATCTCTGTGACTCTATGACTGTGACTTCTGACTCGGTGATAAAAGTGCTGTTGCTGTCACAACATCCAGCAGTGAAATGCTTGTTGTTGTTGTTGTTAGAGAAATATTGCACTTGTTATCTTGTTAATGATATGAGATCTTTGCTACATTGTAGTTATAGACACTTGTTATATTGCCCCACTGAGGAAATAGCTGATATGCTTAGAAAACCATGTAATGTTGATCTGAAAGGAATCCATTTGCTATTTATACTAAAACTTTAATGAACAAATGATAAAGCTGCTATTAATTTCATCAGTGGCAAATCAATTTATCACCTTTCTGATATGACAAGAAGTACAGATCTCTTGTTCAGGCTTGGCCCAATCCATATTTAGGTCAATGATATCAGCCAGTGACAGACCCACCCAAAGCATTATCCATTGGAAGTTTTCCAAGTCAGTAAAACTGACGTAATTACTCTCCATTAGAATGCCTTATTTGAGAACAAAACGACAAATAACTTCTCTCAGGGAGGAGACATGCACTATAGCTTCCCATCGTCCACATGCTCTATTGCAATTATAGGTGAGCTGAGAGCTACGGTCAGTTACTGGAATAGTGTTCACCCTTAGGAAGTCTGAAAGTGAAACTATCCTGCATTCAAATGAGCTTTAGAGAGTTGGGCTTGATTTACTGCAAAAACTATGGAGGAACTGCAGACAAAGAGCATACTTTCTGTAAAAAGAAGAAATTGAATATCTTAGAAATGACTGAGAAATGCAAACACTTGTCCTGTCAAAAACCTGAGAATCATGGTTCAGCTTCTGTGAGCTCAACTGTATGCTTGTCGGTCTAGTGTTTTTGATCTCTGTCGTGCCTCAGTGTCATTTCAAGTATTACTAGAATGTTCAAACATTCTGCTTCTCATTAAACAACAAATACAGCAGTCAGCCTATAGGTCATGCACTAATCTGAAGGAATAAAATCACTGAGATTCTCCCATTTACATCAATGCCACTGTCAATTTATATACTTTTCAGATATATTTAGCAAGACATTAAAAGGATAGAAACATTCAAATGTGTATGAACAGCTTTGCTGCCTGACATTTAATTCACTTTGCTGGAATTTGATGTCTTGCCAAAAAACAAGCAATGATGTAGCCAAAGTATATTTATATGGGCATTCCTCTTACTGGTTCCTCCCAACTCTACTCTGATTTAACTCTTATGATGGTTTAGATATAAAATTTTTACTGAAGTAGTTTTAAACTACTTTCCCTAATGACATGTTGGGCCTACCTACAGCTTATGAAGTGCAGCAATTCAAGAAGGCAGCTCACCAGGACCTTGTGGGCAGTACGGTGGCTCAGTGGTTCGCACTGCTGACTCACAGTGCCAGGAACCTGGATTCGATTCCAGCCTCAGGTGATTGTCTGTGTGGAGTTTGCACATTCTGCCTGTGTCTATGTGGGTTTCCTCCAGGTGCTCCAGTTTCCTCCCACAATCCAGAAATGTGCAGATTAGGCGGATGGGCCATGCTAAATTGCCCATAGTATCTGGGGATGTGCAGGCTAGGTGGATTAGCCATGGGAAATACAGGTAAAGGGTAAGATGTTCTTCAGAGGGTTGGTGTGAACTTGATGGGCTGAATGGGCTGCTTCCATGGTGTAGGGATTCTATGATTCTCAAGGGCAACTAGGAATGGACAATTAATGCTGGCTAGCTAGTGATGCCCACATCCCACAAGTGAATTAAAAAAAAACTCAATGCAATAATTTTAATTGTTACACATAAAAGAGAGTTTACAGTGAGAAGCGGGAGGCAATGTCCTAGTGGTATTATCGCTGGACTATTAATCCAGAGACCCAGGCAATGTTCTGGGGACCTGGGTTCAAATCCCGCCACAGCAGACGGTGGAATTTGAATTCAATACATATCTGGAATTAACAATCTAATGATGACCATGAATCCATTGTTGATTGTCGGAAAAACCCATCTGGTTCACTAATGTCCTTTAGGGAAGGAGACTGTCGTCCATACCCGGTCTGGCCCACATGTGACTCCAGACCCACAGCAATGTGGTTGACTCTTAACTGCCCTCTTGGCAATCAGGGATGGGCAATAAATGCTGCCTAGCCAGCGACACCCTCATCCTGTGAATAAATTAAAAAAAGCAAGCATTTGTCTCACAGAAGCAGTCTTTCTGCAGTTCATTATCTCAGTCACCATCTCTTTTTCCCCCAAGAACCAGCCAGTATGCAAGTTACCATATTTTAGGGTCAGTGGTGACCAGAAGTGACTGTGAATGTAGGATTCAATTGCCTTCTGTAAAGTTCAACATTACCTTCCAGAATGATTTAGAAACTTGGTCATGAAAGGAACCATCTGTAAAACATCTGAAGCAATATCCACCCTTCCAC